TAATTAACTCAAAGAAGCTCAGAGAATTATAGACATTATATTTAAAATTATTTTGTATTTTGTAAAATTTTGCACCCCCTTCCATCCTCTCAAAAAATGTTATAAATTTTTTTTAGGTGGGGGGGGGGGTACTGAATTGTTGCATAATATAGGGGGGTCCATGAAGTGTTGCAGTTGTTTTTAGGTTTTTCGTTACAACCGTCACGACAGAAAACACCTAAAAATACTTGTAAAACTTAAATTAAAACATATAATAACATCAAAATGCGCTAAATACATACACCAAATGATTTTTTTAAAATCATGTTGTTTGCCTGTATTAACTTTGTATAATATATATATATATATATATATATATATATATATATATATATATATATATATATATATATATATATATATATATATATATATATATGTATATATATATATATATATATGAGGAGCAAACGTTCAAACCGTGCTTTCTCCTTCAGATGAGAATTTACAGGAAACGCAAAAAACTGATAAAAATTTAAAGAACTGTCATGAATCAAAGTTATAGTTTTCTATTGTTCTTAATAGCTCTGAGGAGTATTCTGATACATTGTTTTAGATATTTGTTTGAAAACAAATGAAAAAAATGCATTTATTTTTTGGAGAAAACACATTTTGATAGAATACTAAGGAGAAAACATGTTTTGATTGAGTCTCACAAGGATAAAACACTTTTTGAATGATTTAAGTAATACAACAAACGAATAACACAAAGTCAATGGGGTTTATTGGTGCAATTCAAGAATTTGAAAAATTTTGAAATAACGCAACACACAAATTAAGAAATTAAAAAATATGGTAACATAAAACACAATAATAATACATACTCAACAATTTAAATTCTCATTCCAATATCTTCATCCAAACAGTCACACACTTCATCTTCCTCTTCATTCCCGTCTTGTTCATCGAATAATATTTTCCTGTACCATTCAAAATCAGGCTCACTCTGCCATCCATCGCCATATAATAGTTTCAAGAGTTTCTCAACATCTTTTTTCTTCTCGGCAGAAATGGGACGATTTAGTGGAAGAGATTCTAAAGTTATATTTTTGACGTTTGAAACTTTTATTCCTCTTTTCAGGAGTCCTTCTCCAGCTTGCTCACTTCCATCTTCAAATCTATAGTTTCTGAAGCCCTTGACCTTGACAGCTCCTGTTCCTGGGTGTTTCTTGAGAAAGATCTTTTTTAATTCTGATATGTATGAAAGATTTTTGAAGAACCTGTTGAGTGATTTGGTATTTAGAAGTTCCCAATCAACACCCATA